TAATTTGGAAATAACGAATTCTAATGAGAATATTCAATGTTTATCAATAATTAAAAAAACAAAATTATAATAGCTATGTACAATTGCTATTCTATTCTAACTGTAATATGTTAGTATTGATTTGTCTAACGTCGCGAAATAATTTGGAAATAACGAATTCTAATGAGAATATTCAATGTTTATCAATAATTAAAAAAACAAAATTATAGTAGCTATGAACAATTGCTATTCTATTCTAACTGTAATATGTTAGTATTGATTTATCTAACGTCGCGAAATAATTTGGAAATAACGAATTCTAATGAGAATATTCAATGTTTATCAATAATTAAAGAAACAAAATTATAATAGCTATGGACAATTGGTATTCTATTGTAACTATAAAATTTTAGTATTGATTTGTCTGAAGTCTCGAAATAACTTGGAAATATCGAATTCTAATGATAATGTTCAATGTCTATCAATAATTTAAAAAACAAAATTATAATAGCTATGCACAATTGCTATTCTATTGTCACTATAAAATTTTAGTATTGATTTGTCTGAAGTCTCGAAATAACTTGGAAATATCGAATTCTAATGATAATGTTCAATGTCTATCAATAATTTAAAAAACAAAATTATAATAGCTATGCACAATTGCTATTCTATTGTCACTATAAAATTTTAGTATTGATTTGTCTGAAGTCTCGAAATAACTTGGAAATATCGAATTCTAATGAGAATATTCAATGTCTATCAATAATTTAAAAAACAAAATTATAATAGCTATGCACAATTGGTATTCTATTCTAACTATGAAATTTTAGTATTGATTTGTCTGAAGTCTCGAAATAACTTGGAAATATCGAATTCTAATGAGAATATTCAATATCTATTAACAAGAAAATAAACCGAAAATTTTCTAATAGTTGTTAATTATTGAAAATCTATTTGATTCTATTGTATGTAAGTTTAATAAGAAGGTAGAGTGTGTATAGGGTGGACATAGGCTAGCTAGTAGCCCTCGATCACCCTATTCAAATCTCAGAACCCTCGGATAAAAATTTACGCGATGTGTACTGTTCGGTATGCAGATTGCAAATGTGCTCCGAAATAATTAGGGGGTCCTTATATAGCCTCGGTGTCATTAGCCTAAAGTCGTTACCAAGGACAGGCGAACTTCGACTAATTACACTTGGAGAATTTTTGAATTTCTATCGTAATAACGTATGATTTATTTATTTCCATTATTTTGTTACAAATATATACTCCTGGTAATTTGTTACAACACCACATATTGTAATTTATTCATTTTTATATTTTTTTTTCAATGAAAAGCTACGTTTCGATGTTCTTGTTACCTTCTCGTGTAGAGATAAATTTCGTAACGTTTAAAATTTACGTATAGAAAGCAGCAGAAAAGAAAAATTGCCCGACACTTCTACGAGATCCCCAGCAAAGTTGCAAAGTTTTCAAAAAAATCGAAATTTTCACCGTACCAAAGTTTCCTCTTAACTTTGTCTTACAAGTATCTCCACGATATTACGTACAACAGTTCGATAGAAAAAGCACAACTTGCCAGCCTGACTTTCTTTCCATGTAAATTACTTTCGCGAAAAATATCCTCGTAATTTTCGTTCACCCGTCCATTTCCCTTCCAGCTGGTTCTGTATCCTCAACCTTGCGTCTCCCTTTATACTCTGCACTGCTTCTTGATGAAGTCTCCGGTAACGTAATCTAGATTCCCGTAAGAATAACTCCGTGACGAACAACGAGCCGCTTTATACGGCCACTTTTTTCTCCTCGAGCGAAAAGACCTTACCTGGTCTTAGATGAGAATAGCGAGGATCCCGTGGAATGGATCCGAAATTACTCGTCGATCAGATCCGATAAAGAGTACATCTCCATATCGTAGCTGCAGCATTAAGTAAGACGAAGCTGTTCGAGCCGAGTATCCTTCATAAAACACCGGAAAGGTTATCTTCCTTTGGTGAATGGTTATCATTCCTTCCAGCTTCTCATTCCAATTGCGGAATGTGCAGGTCCTCGCGTTGTTCGCGAAGTCGATTAAGAAGGAAAAAAATGTTCCTTCTCTAATATAACATTTATTTTTGAAATTTGTTTCATTTCTTGGTTCGTTCGAGTATTTTTAGTGATGATGGTTAGAAAGGAAAATAGATGGGAAGGATTTCACTGGATAGAAAAAGAGACACATTTTCGATACTGATAAGTATTATCATTTGCAACTTTTTTATTTTATTTGGCACGTTTGTTTATATGTATATGGATGTAGGATAAATGTTTTAATTGTGTCTTAAGTTAC